GACTACCTCCCTTCATCAGGTTGTCCCTAGCCACCCAGAACTCTCACGCCTCGAGACCCTGCCCTACCTCTGGGGGACCCCTTTCCACCCCCACCCTGCTGCTGGGAACCCCCTCCCAACATCCAGAACCCCCTCCTACCACCAGGCCCCACCCCTGTCCCTGCTGACTGCTATGGCCCCAGCCACCCAGGACCCCCTTCCTTCTACCTATAACCTCCCTCTGCCCTTAGATCGCACCCCAGCTGCCTGCACCCACTCCCACCACCAGCCTGCCCTGGCCCACTAATGACCCTCTTCTTGCTGGCCACCCTGAGCTGCCTGTCATGCATAAGCCCACTGCTGCCCATCCACCCCACCCCAGCCAGCCAGTGTCTCCCTCCCACCAGCAGAGGCAGCCAGGACTGCCCCCCTCCACCCCAACCTCAGGTGTCTACATAGCTGTGCCCCCAAACACCAGGTAGGCAGGGTGGGTGCACTCCACGTTCCCCACCCACCTCTGTCCTGCGGGAGGTGGCCAGGAGAGCAGCAGGGGTCAGGGCCCCCATCTCTGAACCAGTGGCCTCCACCAGCCACCCCCAGAGGTCCCCGAGAGGCCCAGGTGTGCTGCATACAGGCCCTGGACCTCTCTGACTGGGGCAGCCCTGCGGGCCCGGCAGGGGACTCATGGCCTCGGAGAAGTGGGGGCTCCACCCAAGGGGGCAGGGCTCCGGTGCCAGTCTGCGGGGCTTCTCCAGCCCTGTCTTCATCTGCTGTTGGGCCTCCCCCAAGCTGACCATCCACCGCCCAGGGCAGGGAGCCCAGGCAGGGCAGGCCGTGGCCTCAGACACCTTCTGGCATTCCTGTCCCCTGCCTGCTGACCCGTCCTTCCCCCCCAGCGACCTGGCCCTGAGGAACTGCCTGCTCTCGGCTGACCTGACCGTGAAGGTTGGCGACTATGGCATGTCCCACTGCAAGTACCGAGTGAGTGGGGCAGGGCGAGGTGGGGGGGGGAAGCTGCGTGGGGAGGGGAGGCCACACCGGGGTAGGGGCGCGCTGAGGGCTGAGCGCTCACTCCACAGGAGGACTACTTTGTGACCGCTGACCAGCTGTGGGTGCCCCTGCGCTGGATAGCGCCGGAGCTGGTGGACGAGGTGCACAGTAACGTGCTGGTGGTGGGCCAGACCAAGGCCAGCAATGTGTGGTGAGTAGCCGGCGGGGCTGGGCAGTGGGTATGAGGCTGTGGTCACTGGTGGGGAGCCAGACCGAGGCTAGCAGCCGAGGGCACACACTTGTGGGGGAGAGACCCCACTCAGTGCCTCGGGAGGGTCTGGAGCGGCTGCAGCTGTCCGTGGGAGGCAGGGAGGTCAGGTCAGGGGGGCTAGGACTGCGTTCACATAACTGCAAGTGTGGGAGGATCCCATCCTCAGCCCTGCCCTGCATCGGGCCTGCCATAGGGTGGGCACAGGGAATTGGCACCAGGGTCTTAGAGACGTCAGAAGGTGGCACCTTGGGCAGACTCCAGGACATCTCTTGGCTTGGTGACTACCTACTTCTGGTCTTGGTGAGCCTGTTCCCCACATTGGGCCCTTTGGCTTCACTCTGGCCTGGACCCAGGGACCACCCGAGGGCGCTCAGGAAGGGTCCGTTACACAGCACCTCTCACCAACATGCCTGCTTCTCCAGGCACTGAGCCTCCCTGGCGGCCTTGGGCTTCAGGCAGGAGGACTGCTGCCCAAGCGGCATGACTGAGGCCACACTGACTCCTTTGCCCTGCCCCTTACTCTACTCTGCCCCCCACACCCCAATTGGGAGAGCATGCCCTGCCCTCATGCAGTGGTCACCCAGGGTCACATCCTCTGAGAAGCCCTCCTCGTGGACGCTGGGCATGGCCTGCCCACACCTGGTCATAGAGTGGACTTGTCTGAGTGGACAGAGGCCCAACAAGGGAGGCTGCGAGGTGGCTGAGGCACTTGGGGTCCTGAAAGCTGGGGGTGCCTCCGCTGTGGCTGAAGCTCTGGGACCCTCGCATGTGAGGTTGTATGTACAAATGTGTGCGTGCATGCACTTGTGAGTAGCTGCAGGCATGCCTGTGAGCAAGGCCTCCCCAAGATGCAGCCGTGCAGGCCAGCTCTCTTCTGTGTGAGGCAGGGATGGCCCATGGACATCCAGGGCTTAGAGTCCTCCTGTCCCCATGCCACTGCCCTCACGGCCTGGCTCCACAGGTCCCTGGGCGTGACCATCTGGGAGCTCTTTGAACTGGGCTTGCAGCCCTATCCGAACCACTCCGACCGCCAGGTGCTGGCCTACGCCATCAGAGAACAGCAGCTCAAACTACCCAAGCCCCAGCTGCCGCTGCCCCTGTCTGACCGCTGGTGAGGGCCCAGGGCCAGGGATGGGCACTGCCTGGGGCCCCGGTCCAGCCCCACTGGGCCTGGTGAGGACCCCGCAGGCTGGGGTGTCACCTGGCCCACACCCCCTGCTCCACAGGGCCTGCTCAGGCTTGGGGTTGCCAAGTTGTGAGGTGGCCGGAGCAGAAGGACTTAGACAGTTGAGGCTCCATGCCTCCTTGACTTCTGGGGCCCATTTCTGACCTCCACTGGCCCCCAGCCACGAGGGGACAGGTGGGGAAGGGACTGCTTCCTGGAGATTTGTCGGTTCACTCAATTAACTCGGCAAGAGACAGTCCTCAAGGGACTGAGTATGGGCCAGTGGGGTTCTACTAAGCCCAAAGGAGGGTACAGGGGGCCGGCCCACTTCTAAATGGTGGGGTGGGGCGGAGTCTCCCCGGGGCGGGGCAGCCCAGGGGGCGTGGTCGGGCCGGCATTGACGGAGCCCCGCCCCCGCAGGTACGAGGTGATGCAGTTCTGCTGGCTGCAACCGGAGCAGCGGCCCACGGCCGAGGAGGTGCACCTGCTGCTGTCCTACCTGTGCGCCAAGGGCGCCACCGAAGCCGAGGAGGAGTTCGAGAGGCGCTGGCGCTCGCTGAGGCCCGGCGGGGGCGGCGGGGCCGGCGAAGGCGGCGCGGGCACCGGGGCGGGGTTGGCGGGCCAGGCGCTGGCCGGTGTGGCTGAGCTCACCGCCGCCTCATCCTTCCCGCTGTTGGAGCAGTTTTCGGGAGAGGGCTTCCATGCCGACGGCGACGACGTGCTGACGGTGACCGAGACGAGCCGCGGCCTCAATTTCGAGTACAAGTGGGAGGCGGGGTGCGGTGCCGAACCCTTCCCGTCGCCGGGGCGCGCGCCGCTGAGCCCGGGCCGCGCCTCGCGCCTGCAGGAGCTATTCGCTCCCGACGGCGCGCCCCCGGGCGTGGTGCCAGTGCTCAGCGCGCACAGTCCCTCGGTGGGGAGCGAGTATTTCATCCGCCTGGAGGAGCCTGCCGCCGGCCACGGCCCCGACTGTGCCAGCTGCGTCCGCAGCCCCCGCGCCGCGCGCCGAGACGACGAGGACTCATCGGACGAGAGCACCCATGCCTCGCTGGCCCTGGAGTCGCTACTGGGCCACGCGCCCTCTGCCGGCGGTCCCTGGGGCCACTGCGACTACCACCTGCGCCCGAGCTGCGCCCAGGGTCCCTCGCCCGGGGCCCTGATGGTGGCGGAGCAGGGCACCGAGGAGGACCTGGACTGGGGCGAGGCCGCCTTCTGCCCGGGTTTCTTCGAGGACCCGCTGGGTGTGTCACCCGCGGGGAGTGCAGGGGCGCGGCCATCGCCGGGAGGCGAGGAGGCCGAGGTGCGCAGGGCGGCCCAGCACCCACACTGGAGCTCCAACGTGTCCGCCAACAACAACAGTGGCCGTGCCCAGAGCTTCGAAGACACCTGCCCCGGCGGAGAGGAGAGTCCGCTGGCTGGCGCCCAGCCAGGCCCCTTGCCGGCCCAGGAGGACCCGGAAGAGCTGCTCCTTGGCCCCCCGACGGCTTCCCCTGACCATCAACCAGCCCACTGCCCTGGCCTCGCGGACCACTGTCCTGTCAAAGGCCTGGCATCTGGCACCATAGTGTCCCACTTGGCAGAGACAGCGGTGAGTGGGGACAGTGGCACCCCTGGGGCAGAACCCATGCTTGTAGAGGAGCCCGGGGGCTTCCACAGACCCCACCTACCCCTCATCTTGAGGTCCTCCCCCTCCCAGGAGGGAGCGCCCCTGCCCGCCTTCCCCACCCCCGCCACGCAGCTTGTGGGGACCCCTGAGAGCTATAGAAGCTCTCTGGAATCCCCGGTGCCGGGCAGTGAGGACAAAGACACCCCCGACCCCACTTCGGGGGTCTCGGCAGACTTGCCCGGTGACGGGCCCCTGTTGGAGAATCCGGCCGCGGTAGCAGCCGGCCGCTCCCTGCAGAAGCAGGCGGGCCTCATGGCCGTGCTGGCCCCTCTGAACATCGCAGCCTCAGCCAGCGACGGTGGCTGCGAGGTCTTCAGCCCGGCGCCCAGCGGCACCCCTGGCGGGCAGCCCCGAGCTCTGGACAGCGGCTACGACACGGAGAACTACGAGTCCCCCGAATTCGTGCTCAAGGAGACGCCAGAGGCTCCGGAGACCCAGGCCTTCAGCGAGCCAGGGTCGGCGCACGAAAGCCCGGGGCTGGACACGCAGCCCTCCACCTCTCCCATCCGCGACAGCGACAGCGGCGGCGGTGGCCTCAGCGCCAAGAACCCCTACCGTGACTCCGCCTACTTCTCCGACCTGGACGCGGAGCCAGAGCCCCCGGCGGGCGCTGGTGACAAACTGGACTGTGTGGTCCGCGTCCCTGCGCCGGCGCTGCAGCCGGTGAACTCGCCCAGCTGCCCCCCGGGGCCTGGGCTGCCCGGGGAGGCGCAGGGTGCTGGTCCCAGGGAGGCGTCCCCGCCGCCGTCCCCCGCCGAGGAGTCATCGCCAGAGCCCAGCGCCTGCCCCGGGCTCCCAGGCACCCCCGAGGCGCCGCCCGCGCCGCACCCCGGCCGCTCTCAGTTTTTCCTGCTGACCCCGGTCCGGCCAGGCTCGGAGGGCGGCCCTCCCGAGGTCCCACAGGAGCGGCCCCGAGCGGACGGCGGCGCAGAGCGGCCCGCGGGTTCAGGCGTCCCCAGGGCCCCGCTCTGCCTGGCCCTGCCCGGCCTGGCCCCCGAGGACCGGCCCGAGGAGGACCAGGAGGCCAGCGAGGACAGCGAGGAGTCCGACGAGGAGCTCCGCTGCTACAGCGTCCGGGAGCCGAGCGAGGAGAGCGAGGAGGAGGCGCAGGTGCCGGTGGTGGTGGAGTGCCGGAGGGCGCGCAACCTCCGCAGCCTGCTCAGGATGCCGCCCTGCGAGGACCCGGAGCGCAAGAAGAAGGCGGTGTCCTTCTTCGACGACGTCACCGTCTACCTCTTCGACCAGGTGGGCCAGGTGGGGTCCCAGGCAAGGGAGGGGGAGGGCTCTGCCCGCCTCTGAGTTCACACAGCCACGTGCGCGCTCTGCTACCTCCAGGAGAGCCCCACCCGCGAGCTCGGGGAGCCCTTCCCTGGGGCGAAGGAGGCGCCCCCCACGTTCCTGGCCGGCAGCCAGGGTTCCCCCAGGGTCCCCGGCAGCCTGGGGCGGGCTAGCGAACCCGAGGGCCCAGTGGTGGTGGAAGGTGAGCCTGGGGCGGGGCGGGGCGGCGAGGGGTGAGGGGTGGAGCGACTGGGGGGCGGAGGGCTAGAGGGCTGGGGCGGGGCACGCGGGGCGGGGCGGCGTGTGGGCGGGCTTCCTCTGCTGGCGCATGAATGACGGCATTGGTTGCAGGTGGCGGGCTTGAGTGGGAGCACGAGTTTCCGCTGGTCCAGGCCGAGGCGGCCTTAGCGACAGCACTGGGCGCGCGGGTGGCGGACCCCACGCCGTCGGCGCCACCAAAACCGGTCGCGCCGGGCTCTTTCTCCCGGTTCACCGTATCGCCCACGCCCACGTCTCGCTTCTCCATCACGCAAGTCTCCGACTCGGCCGTGGAGGCCATGGGAGGTGAGGCTCCGAGGCGGGGCCGTGGGCAGGGGCAGGGCCAGCTCCTTAGCGTGGTTCTCCAGTGGTCCCAGCCCAGGCTGCAACCCACCCTCCCCAGTTTGTCCAGCCCCCTCACTAGAATCCTGGCCCCACTGGGAGGGACACATAGGCCACCAGGTAGTGGGGTTGTGGGGGTGAGTGCAGACCACTCCCACCGACCCTGACACCAGAATGACGCCAGCGTGGTGGTAATTACCAGGGTGCACAGCTGGGCTCTTGACCGTGTGTGCAGGGCAGCTGGACCCCTCCCCCCTTCCCACAGTGGGTAGCATCCTAGGCTGGATTCTGCCCCTTCAGGTCTGTCCCCGCCCCTGGGCATTGCAGGCTGGGGCTGGGGCTGGACTCAGTGGGCAGGTTGGCTGGAGCCAAGGTGCCTAGGGAGCTCAGAGGGCTCTGGATAGCTCATGGCCCCAGGTCTCAGGGTCCCTGATGTGACCTTCTGTTTGGCAGGCCCTGGCCGAGGCACCGGGCATGGGAACACTGAGGCTTGAGAACAGGTGGCCGTCCACCCCTTGAAGGCTGGCGTCCCCAGAGCCCCTGCTACCCCCTCCAGGCGGTGTCCAGGATAGTGACCAACCAAGAGTGACCACAGCAGCCTCTTGGCAGAGCGGCACAGGAGCCGGCTTGGGCTGCGGACAAGGCGAGAGGCTTGCCCTCTCTTTAGACAGCTTGGGACAGGCTGGTCCTAGACATGAGTCTGCATTGGCCCCCACCCTCCACCCATGTGGGCATCAGTACTCACACATGTACACATCCGAGTGGACCCCCCCCCCCACCGGCAGCACCTCTCCTGCCCTCACCAATGTGCTGAACTGCTGGGCAGCTGGCCCGTCCACCCTGCCCTCGCACTACAGCTGGCTCCGGATGTCCCCAGGATGCCACGCCTTGGCCGATGGACAGCAGCATGTGTGTGAGCATCTCCCATCTCAATGCCTCGCACATGTGCCAGGACAGGACCCTTGGGCTAGTCCAGCTCTCAGCCTTGGGCCCCCTTCATTGGCATCGGGTGGTATGTGAGCACCCCTCTCCAGCAGGGTCTGGGCTGCCTGCCACCTGGGCCGACAGCTGGATCCTGGGGCTGGGGACCCTGGTGGGCAGCCAAGATGGGAGGCTTTAGGTCACCGTTGCACTTTGGGGTCTGTCCTAGAGGCAGAGCCCAGCGTTCTGGCTGTCAAAGGGCAGCGAGGTCGTCCCTCCTTCCATGGGGGTGCTACATCTGCGGGAAGGGGGTGGGGTGCAGCCCTGTGGCCAGAGGAAGGCCAGTGGGCTGGTTTTTAGTTACTGTTGCCAAAGAGATGTTGAGTGGACCGTCGTCACTGTCCCAGTGGGGTGGGTCCTGCAGGTCTGTGTTACTCATCCTGGGCTTCGGATGGGGTGTGGCAAGACTCCCTTCTGGTCTTCTTTTTTTCTTTTTTAAAGAGAAATCAAGCTGGGAAAAGCTCTCCTGCTAGTGTGTGTGTGGGGCAAAGCCATCACAGCGGGGATGGGTTGAGGGTACTGCTTAGATCGGAGGGCTCTCTTACAAGTGGCAGGAGGGAGACTGCTCTTCCTCCCCACTGCCCTTGGGGCCCCTCCTGCAGCCAGCCTGGGGCAGGGGGTTCTGCCCTGGCTGCAGCCTGTTCCTGCCCAGGAATCGTGAAGGGGCCTGGCTTTCCACAGCAGCCTCCTGCTTGTCCAGGGCTGGTGCTGGCCCCGGCAGAGGCAGGTGGGAGCGGCGGGGCTGGGAAGTCCCCAGTAGCCACCCTGCTCCCTCAGCCTTCCACCAACTGTAGCTCTGACCAGCTGGGAGGCCAGCACAGAGGGCCTGAGGGTTGCCTTGGACCTGGGGCGGTCCCTCCCTCGCAGGGGGCTGAGGTACCTGACTCACCCATACAGCATCCCGGCTGTCTGGGGAGAGAGCCCAGGGGATCCCCCTTGGTGTTCTTACACCAAACTTCCTCTCTGCTGCCCCACCCCCTACGGGGGCCTGGCCTCTCTCTGGTCACCTGCTCCTCATCAGCAGGCCCATCTGGAGCCTGTCCCAGGGCCATTTGGATAACATCGCCCCACCCCATGGGCACACTTACTGGACTCCAGGAATTTCCCAGGCCTGCCCTGTCTTAGTGGGCCCCCCTGGGAAATGGGCAGACAGACATAGGTGGCCCCCAGCCCCTGTCCTGGGGGGCCTGCAGTTTGGTCAGGGCCCAGATCTTCCCTCACAGAGCGGGGAGGGGCCTCTGTGGGCCCCTCCCAGCTACGGAGGGCTACTGAAAGCTTAAGTCCCCTTGGCTGTGCCTTGCCCAGACCTCAGCAGCCCGGCCTCTAGAGGAAGCATTCAAGGCTTTGCCTTTCAGCAGAGGCTCCGGCGCCCACCCCCAGCAGGACCCCATGGGCACAGTCCAGAGACATAGGCCACACACCTCCTGCCTCCAAGGGCAGGGCCCCGGCTGCCCCAGATGGGAGTGGAAGGGGGGGGGAGAAAGACTGGTGGGGGTTGTGGGGGGGTGTCCCAGATGTCACTGGGGACAGCAGCAGGTGTAGGGGCATCTCACCTCCTTGGCCCTCCCATGTGCAAGTAAAGAACCCAGCAGAGCCCAGTGAGGGTCCTCAGGTGCCCCCCACTTCAGCTCAAGAGGCCTGCCAGGGAGTGAGGAAGACATACCTCCCAGGAGTGGGCCCTGCCCCAGAGAAGACACCGAGGCTCAGGGAGACGATTTATTGACACCCTAAGACCCCACAGCAGGAGGGTGGGGAGCTGCTTTCTTCTGACAGGAATGGCCAGACGGCCTCCTGCTCATGGCCTGGAGGCCAGCTTTCTGCTGGGGTCCAGCCCCTGCTCGGCTCTGTCGCCCCACAGCCAAGGTGCCGGCTCCCTGGAAGAGCTGGGGTCCAGCCCAGCCCACAGCGAGGCAGCACACGGCGGGGCGGGCATGGTGCGCACAGGACGTGCATGGTGGGCACGAGTGGGCGGGCGGGCAGCACCTGAGGGCATGGCCATCAGCTGAGCAGGGGGGCAGATCTATCACTGGTCACTGTGGGCTTCAGCTGGACGTTGGCGAAGGGGTTCCTGCAGAGAGGAGAGGGGTCTGTGAGCGGGACACCCTGCACACCCCCTGCCTACCCAGCCCTGCCAGCAGGGCAACTCCCAACAGGCCCAGGGTGGAACCCAGCCAGCGCCAGGGGAGGCCATGCCCACCCCACATGCTCCAGGCAGGCAGGCACCAGCTGGTGGGTGGGCATGGTGGGACAGGTTGGTTTCAGGCGATAGGTGGACATCGACAGGTGAGAGCCAGAGGGCTCGTCCAGTTGCCAAGCAGGGTCCCTAGCCACAGCCCACCCACCAGGCACCACGGAGCCCAGCCTGGGCACAGACAGACACGCAGGCCAGCAGGCGTGCGGGTAGAGCCAACACAGACATGGGGGACGGCCACGGCCATCCTCGACCAGACACTGCCTGACTCCACATCCCCAGGGCCACAGCTGATGGACACACTGGACGGAGAGACAGGCGGAGACGGCACGAAATGACACAGATGGGGTTGGGCCGCAGGCCCGCACACCACGATCCTTGGAAACCACGCGGCGGGAAGACAGGCAGACTAGGCCCACAGCAGGAGCCGTTACCTGCAGAGTCCGCGGCCCTCACGCCACCCTCAGAGCCACAGCACAGCAGCAGCGGTCACCTGGAGCATCCTAGGCCAAGCTGTGCCCTGCTCGCCCCCCGGGAGGCACACAGAGGCGGGGTTGGGTGGGGGCACCCTGTTTCCCCAGGACTCGACTCTAAGGTGGAAACCCCTGGATGGTGGGCGGTGACAAGGGGGCAGGCGGCAGAGACTGACAGTGGGTCACGTGGGACTTGGTGTCGCTGAGATGACGTCGAGGCTCCTTTCCACTCTCTGGGCAGCGGTCATGCCCCGGCCTTTAGGCCATGCTCAACCCCAGCTTGCTCCCCCCAAACCCCCGCCCCCAGGCTCCTCTTTGGCGCTGGTCTGTCTGCCCCCGGCTACTCTGGCTAGCTCAGGGCTGGGGCAGTACCCTGCCTGCCCTCCTTGAAGAAGATGCTAACTTCTGGGGTATGTCTTGGGGGTCCTGGTCTGTCCCCACACCCAGGGACAAGTGGGGGACTTGGTTAGAGACAGGGCACACTTAGTGGTGGAGCCAGGAGACCCAGGCCCAGCGACAGGAGGGCTGGCCGGGTACTCTACCAGTCCACAGGGTCCCTGAGGAGCCCTCCCGGTCCTCCCAGGAAAGCTGGTGGCAGAGCCCCAGGACTGGGGCGCATGCTGCCCAGAGAGCTCTCCCACTGCTCTCCCTCCCGCCCTTGCCCCTCTCCCCACCCCCTGCCCCCCTGGCGCCACCAGGACTGGTGAAGGGGGCCGTGTGACTTTGGGGGTACAGGAGGGGGTCTGTGGGCGGGGCTAGCATTGCTATGAAGCGATGTCTAGTAGTCCCAGGCCCTGCAGAACCCCAAAGGAGATCCCCAGACCCGACTCCTAGCCCATCCAGCAACAGAGGCTGGCCCGTGGCCGGCTGAGGGGCGTCCATCAGGCCTGGTCAGGCTGAGCGCGCAGAGCTCCACCAAGGCAGGGCTTCCAGTGACAGACGTGGTGGGAGGTCTCCCTACCAAGACGGGGAAGGGTGCTGACTTTCTCGATGAGCACTCCAGCCAGAGCCCCTGGACAGAGTGCCTGGCTGAGGTCTTGTTCAGCGGACAGCAGCAGGCTCCCGGAGCAGAGAGCCGGAGCCCCAGCGGACAACGTGGACCTGAGAGCTAGCCGTCCACACTCAGTCCTTGGACCCCATCCTCAGATTCGAGGAGCTCTTGCTCCATCAGGGGACCCCATGCTAAACTTGGGGTGTCTTTACTCCATCCTCAGACTGGGGTGCTCCATCCTTGGACCCCCTCCTCAGGCTGGGGGTGTCTGTCCCTTGCCGCCGAGCGGCTCTGACGTGAGGCCCAGACCCCCAGTTGAGACCACTGTCCGCAGAAACGCCTTCAGCCACAACAGCCTTTGAACACAGCCCAGCCCCCGCCCCACAGCCTGGGCTGTGCAGGAAGTCTGGAACTGAGGTGGGGTGGGGGTGTCGAGGGTCCAGCTGCTGCCTCCTCAGGCACACAGACACCGGTCCTCTGGGAACCAAGCGAGGGAACACTCAGGCTCTGACGGGCAGCTGTCAGAAGCTGGGCAGGGACAGGGTGTCCCCTCCAACCGCCTCAGGGGGCTCTGCGCCCCTGGGACCTCCCAGGCCAGCCCGCTGCACCCCGCGCTCTGGGACGCACCAGGGCGGCGGCCAGTTTAGAGCCTTCCCCCAAGCCCCCGGGAGCACCGTCAGACAGAACGTCCCAGAGGCTATGCTGCAACTGAAGGTGTCCCCTAGGAGGAGAGGACATGCACCCAGGGCCTACCCGGTCGGGGCACCGTAGTCATGGGGAGGGCCAGCCCTGGGGGGATGACACATGCTCCCAGTCTAGGATGGGGCTGCCCCTGGCCCCCAAGCCAGTGCGGCTAGAGGGGAAGGCTGGGGCGGTGGGGGTGGCTAGGAGGCCCACAGGGGAGGTGGGGTCTGCAGCAGCTTCAGTGGTGGTGCTGGGGGTAGAGGCTACCGGGAGCTGGGGGCCAGGACAACAGGGCAGCAGAGGGACAAGCCAGATACTTCCTACCACTCCTCCCCACACCGCTGCACCCCGCCCTAGCTCAGCCCCACCCGATGCTCCATCGGAGAAAGGAACACAGTCCGGAGAGCCCAAAGCGAGCAGCGCTGATTGTGGGGTCCCCCCTGATTGGAGCCCAAGCACCCAGCAGAGTGAAGGCGCAGCCGGTGGGTGGCAGCAGGCCCAGCTACAAAGAGTCAGAACCCATGACAGGTCCAAGAAGGCCCGGAGCGCAGCACCAAGGCCCAGGGACCACCCTCCGGGCCTAACCCGGGCCACAGGGCCTGCCCAGAGCCACGCCAGCACAGAGACCTGCAGTCACTTACTAACTAGCCAGGCCGCTCAGAACCGGGCCACTTCCACGTCCTCGCTGCAAGGAAACACAGGGTGCATTGGAAGGGGTCAGCAAGTGGGGGCCAAGGACGCGTGGGGAGCGGGAGGGGTGCCAGACCCGGGGCGGAGTGGGGGGGGGCACTCAACACTGCAGTGCATGCCCCTGCAGGCAGACAGTCCAGCCCCCAAGGGGCTTCACTCCATTTCCAGGATGGTCCCCAGAAACATGGGAGCCTTCCCACCCCCAGGGTACCAGAATAGAGTGAGAGGACAAAGCAGGGGCTCAACCACCTCCCCACCATGGGGCCTGGCAGCCTGTTGGCGCCAGTACTTCCCCAGGCTCCACGCAGCCACGGACGTGGCAGGGACCGGGAAGGAGGAGCCAGACCCAGCCCGATGCAATAAATAAAACTTTTATTCAAACAACGGACTGCAGCACAGGGCACAACTTTGTTGTTTTTTTAAAAAAGAAAAAAAAAGGAAAATTATTTTCAGCACTTGACACCCTCCTGCCAGCGTGGCTGCTCCGCATCTACGTTCACCCGCGCGCTGAGCACGGGGTCCCCTGGATTGAAAATCTTTGCGCAAAACGAGAACAGCGGCAGGGAAGGCTCTCCCACAGTCTGCCTCCAAAGCGGATGCCTGGGGCCTGGGTCTTGCTCGCATCACTAACACTCCAGGGCCACGGTGGGCGGGCTTTGACAAGTCTTGCCAGCAAAGGAGGGTCGTGGCGTCCCCGCTGGCCCCCAGTAGCCTGAAGGGCTCAGCTGGGCGGTGGCCCGCTCTCGTCCCAGAATTCAGTGGGTGTAGAGACAATACCAGTAGCCATTGAGTCCCGTGTGTTTTCTTCTAAAGTCACCGAGACACACAAAGAGACGGCACGCACTTAGCCCGGCCGCACCCCTGGCTGGAGGAAGCCAGGGCGGCTGGCTGTGGTCATGCCCACGCCTCCGACCCGGGCCAGCCTCGCTACCGGGCACTCCCTGCGCTGGGGAGGTGGGTGACCGCAGTGTGCACACCCAGGCCGGTCAGAGAAATGATTTCCAAAGCGTGGGTGCGGTGGGGGTCTCAGGAGGTCTTTGGAAGGTCCGCGTGCAGCTGGGCAGTGCCTGCTGCGACCACCCCCCTCGCGCCAGTGCACCGGGTGAGGTAGGGAGACCCTGTGCAAAGATGCCCATGCCCACCTGCGGGCTGCGCCCTCGGGAGGTGGCAGGACGCCAGGCCCTGTGGGCAGGCTCCCTCACTGGGCACGGTGGCTCCTCGGGCGGGGCTGCCGGACAAGCCCTTGGTGCCGCGGCCCCCGAGGGGCTGGCCGGGCAGGCGGGCGGGCTGGGCCCCGGAGGCCAGGGGTCAGGCCAAGGTAACAGTACAGACCCCAAGTCCATGCACATCGGTTTTGTTTGTTGGGAAAAACAGTCCTTTCCCTAGTTGTTCATCTTTTTGTTTTTTAAAGGTTTTTTTTTCTTCAAACTCGAACCCTGGCCTGTGGCGAGCCGTAGAAAAGGGGGTGCGCTGCTGACACCTTGGTGTGCCGGGCGGGTGGGGGCCGTGGCGGTGTCGGCGGGTGGGGGGGGAGGCTGCGGACACACGGTGGGGGTGGGGCAGCACCATGGATCCTGGGGCTGGGATCAGAGTTGGCCAAGGCTGCGCTGGCAGCAGGGCCCGGAACAAACCAATGAGCAGAGAGCGGTGGAGGCCAGGGGCCGAGGGTGGCGGGGTGGGGGGAGCAGGGGAGGGGGACGGCAAGCTCTCCAGAGCCCCGGCGTTGCGTGGTCCGCGCCTCACACCGTGGACACCAGGGTGCCACTGCCACTGTGGACAAAGCACAGGAGAGCTGCCAGCCCGGGTCGGCGGCCTGCAGCAGCCTCAGAGGCTCAGAGTGGCCCAGGGCAGCCAGCACGCCCATCCTGACCAGCCCGGCGGGGGCGGGGAGGCCGTGAGGACGGCCTCGGGATCGAGAGTGCTGGGGAGCTGGGCGGGAGGCCGGGTCACCAGATGTCCCACCCAGCAAGAAGCAGACCTGACCACCTCACGACGGGTCACCTGCCCTTGCCCAGGAGCGCAGCCTGTGCTGCTGGACACCGCCGGGAGCCACTGGCCTCGCCCAGCCTGGGGGCCTCCACCTGCCCTGGGGGCCACTCCCCACCTGCCTAAGGTGCCCTGCCCAACCCCTTACCTGCTCACAGACCGCGCTCCATAGTCGTCCAGACCCTATAGGGTAAGGGGAGACGTGTCAGGGCCAGGACCCCGAGCCCTGGAGTCCACCTGCGCCGCCAGCTGGTTTTATGAGGCCACCCAGCAGGGCTGTGAGCAGCGGGCACCATGTGGCCCCGGGGCTACCAAAGGCAGTATCTCCCCACGCCCAGGCCTCCCAGGAGGCATCACACCCTGTGGGCACCCCCAGAGAGCAGACAGTAGGTGGCAAACTACCGCCAGGGTGTGGATGGCTGTGGGTGCCAAGCAGCGAGCCCAGGAGGGGGCCGAGCGCCTCCCACATGTGGCTTCCCTGGACAGTAAGCCCTCGCCCCGCATGAGGCTCCGTCACCTGGAGGAGGAGGACCCCGTGGTACTGACCTGGGGGAAGGCGGGCACGGCCACGCTGTAGGGCCTCTGCTTGAAGGTGCTGGCCGGCTGGGTCGGGAAGGCGCGGGAGGACGTCCCGTAGTCCGGCGGCGGCAGGGCCAGGTCATCCTTGTCCAGCAGGTTGCCGGTGCTGCTGCTCTTGCCCTGCTGCAGGCTGTGGTGACCAAGGGACAGGGGGTCAGCCTGCTCCCTGCTCCCCACAGCTCCAGGTCTGGACCTCAGCTCCCACCTCCCAGGGCACCTCCCTGGATTGCAGCCCACACACCCCTCCCAGATGGCCCCGCAGAGCTGGACCAGGGTGAGGGAGGCCATCCGCCTGGCTGTGCCTTCCCACGGCCCCACCCAGCTGAAGGCCACTGCTTTCGCCACCTGCCAAGGACAGGGCGCACTCACCTCATGTGCAACCTATCGTTGACGTCACCGTCCAGGACCCGGGTGTAGGAGAAGGGGAACCAGCCCCGCCTGCAAGAGAAGCCTCCAGGTAAGTTCCCCACAAACCCACCCCACGCCCACAGTGGGGTCTGCTGTCCAGCCCCAAGACTTCCACTCCCGAGCTGCTGAGCAGTGTGTGTGGAGGGAGGTGGGCCCCGGGGGTCAGCGCCTACACCCCCAGCCTGAAGAGCCTGGGCACCACTCACCAGGCAGGCCGATTCTGCCACAAGCCCCCTGCTGTGCTGTGGCCCCACAATCCAAGGACCTGCCACGCACCCCCCTGCCATGTGGGGGGCAACGTGGGCACCAGCTGGGGCTGGATTTGCTGCCCCAGCCACAGTGTCTCGATGCAGCCTCTCTCTAAGACTGAATGGGAGAGAGCAGCCTCATCTGTCTACCAAGGGGCGGTGGGTGACTTTGAGCCCGCGGTCCAGCAGTTAGCAGCCCGATGCCTGACCCGAGTGCACTACTAGGGTTCCTTGGCTCTGTAGCAAGGGGACAACTGTGGAGGCGTGGGGGCAGTGATAGCGGGCGGGTGGGTGGCCTGTACCCCAGGGCACCCACAACAAGCTCCTGCTGGCGTGGTCTCCTTGGTAACAGGTGACGTGACAGTGCTGTGACAGGGCAGGGCAAACTGCAGGGGAGCTTGGGCTAGGAGCTTCCCGGTCAGGCACCCGGGTTGTGCCCCAGCCCTGCCTGCCCCTCCCTCCAGTCAGACTGAGTGGCAAAGGCCTGGTGCCAGGGTTCCCCCACCAAGCTCGGTGGCTCCCCCTGTGAGATGGGCCAGGATGACAGGGGGTGCTGGTGACAGCGGGGGCCCCACCAGCTGTGATGAAGGGTGGACGTTCATCGCAGAAGGTGCCTGGGTGGTGTGCAGAGGGCGAGGTGCTGACTGCTAACCACCCACGGCTCTAAGGGAGAAAGACGAGGCTGTGTGCTGCCGGCAGAACTGGCAGCCTTCGGAACCCACGGGGGCGGCTGCTCTGTCGCCGAGTCGGAATCCACACAGCGACCCCAGGGGCCCCGGCCCCACCCCATGTGGGCAGCTTCCAGCGGGGGCTCGTGTGTGCGCCCGCCCGTGAGGGGCATCAGCGCATGCCGGTCCCACTCACATCTTGGTCTTCTCACTCTCGCCGTAGTGCCAGCCATCACGGGCCTCAGGCACCAGCAGGGTGATGAGGTCGCCCTCCTTGAAGCTGAGCAGGGTGCTGTTGTCGCCGGCGGCGTGGGAGAAGATGGCCTTCACCCGCAGGCGGCCGTTGCGCTCCAGCCCGGCGGCCATAGAGCTCGAGCGCGGCAGCGTCTTGTTCTCAGCTGCCGGGCGGCAGGACGGGTGAGGGCCGGGTGCCGGGCAGGCAGCCCGCACCCCGCATGGACACGGCCTGGGCGTGCCCGCATCCACCATACAAATATATCTAATGCCCTGAGGGCACACACGTGTGCCACATGCACAGCACCCACATGCATTTACACATGCACGTGTTCACATGTATCTGCAACCACACATGCAAGTGCTCATACATGTATACATCCTCGCAACCACTCAATGCATGCACATACACATTCATATATAAACCCATTTACAAATGCATGCGCATACATACTACACACACGCACCACTCACACATACACGTACTCACACACACACAACCACCGCATGTGCATGTACACACACATGGATTACCTGCAGCCACTCACAACGCATGCACACACAACCACACGCACATACACGTACTCCCATACATACGTGCAGCCAATCACATGTGCATGTGCCCACACAGTCGTACGTGCAACCTCATGTAAATGCATTATGTGTGCAGCCACTCATGCTGGCATGTGATCACATCTATATACCATCACACACATATACATGTACCCCCACATGTACACAATCACACCCATACATGCACCCACACCCATACACATTCACAAATGCACGCACCCACACATGTGCACAACTTCACACGAGTGCACGTGTGCAACCACTTAGAGGCATGCACCTACACACATTCACTCACACATGCACGTAGTCACACATAGAGCCACAACCATTCAAAGGTGTATGCACCCACACATGTACATAGTCACACACACATACATACTCTGTCTCCCGTGCATGCACCTATACACGCATTCAGGACCATCCACAGGTGTGTACCCTATATAAGCACTTGCATGCCCCACAGCTGCTCTTACATGTCCACACACTACCGATTGCACATGACTATACATGCCAACACATATGCTTCCACAATCACACACACCAGCACAGGCACGTTTGCATTACCACACAACACAGGTATGCGTGTCCATGTACCCGCACATACACAGTCACACCTGCGCACGGCCCGTGCACACAAGCCCCCCCCCTCGAGAGTGTGGGTGGCCAGGCCCTTACTGGCGGCGTAGCTGTTCTTCGGGGTCACGCTCTTGCGCACGGGCAGGGTGTTGGAATAGGAGTCACTCAGCTTGCTCTGAGTTTGCGGCGGGGACAGGGACTTGGTGGCCTTGCGGTCAGACCAGGGGTCGTAGTCCTCACTGTCCGGGCCCGAGACACCGTTCACAACAGGCGCGCCATCCTGGCCAGACATCCGCTGTGGAGCAGGGGTCGATGGGCAGCGGGGTTGAAGGCCCTTCAGCCACTCCCTGAAGGCCCCCCACCTCCCAGGCTCCCGAGGAGGCCAAGCACTCACCCCCACGAAAGGGGCCAGCTCCGGGGGCACGGGCAGTGGCTTGGCCCCCGGGATGGGGTCCGAGATGACCAGGTTGGACTTGGAGGTTGACAGGGTGCCCGGCAGGATGGCGCCGTTGCCGCTGGCCAGCTGCTGCATCAGCTGCACGGCGCGGTCCGGGATCTTGTTGGGGTCCGCGCAGGCCTGCTGCCACAGCGGCAGCTTCTGGGCCAGCAGCTCCTTGCCCTGCGGGAGGGGGGTGGAGTGAGGCACTTGGGGTCAGGGCCCAGCTGGTGAAGCGCTGAAGGCATGTCCCAGCCTGCCTGCTTGCTACTGCTGCTGCCCGGTTACCCCGTCACCCCCACACCCTGTCCCCAGACCTGTGAGGCCTCAGAGGACACACATCTTGCCCCCGGGGGTACTGCTGGGGAAAGGCTGCTTTCACCAGCTAGGTGCCTTCAGGAAGGCGGGTCCCAGTCCCGGGGAGGCGGGGGCAGGCCCCCACCTGGAGCAGTGTGCCAAGCCTGGTAGCTGTAACAGCTGTCAGGTGGGCTGGGGCCACAGGGGCCTCCAGTCACTGCTCACGGCTGCCCACTGCTGCCCAGCCCCCGGGACCCAGCTGACCAGGCTGTCAGAGGGCCAGAGCCTGGGCCTTGAGGGGTAGGGGGACCCGTCTCCTCAGAGCCAGCTGGTCTCAGCCCCCACAACCCAACTAAGCGTGGCCCCAAGCCCCACTCCCTTCCACCTGCTCTGCCATGGCCAGATGAGGGCGGGGCCGCCACCAAGTCCAGAGGCAGATTTGGCAGCCCTGCCCCAAAGGCAGGTGGGGCAGGGTCTTTTCTCCCCTGGCCACGGGCAGGGACCACGGCCCCTGCGATGGGGCTGGCCGGCCACTAGAGGGCGCCATGCCCGAGGGGATGGAGACACTGAGCCTGCAGACTGAGCTGAGCCCCCACCCGCTCGCTGGCTTGCCCGCTGCCACAGCTGCTGGGAACACAGCGTCTTGCTGCAAAGCCGTGGGCCACAGGTGCAGCCGAGACGGGGGACCCCACCCCCGCCCGCCCGCCCCCAGCCAAGAGGCACTGTCGGGACAGGACCAGCCCAGTGCCGGTCCCGCGGATGACATCCACTGCACACGTGCCGGTGGTGCAGGGACCCTGCACTGGGGCATGTCTGCTCATCCCCAGGCTGTGGCCGCCAAGCAGGTGTGTGCATGTGCACGTGTGCGCTCACGTGTCTGCAAGTCTGTGTATAAACAACTGTGCACACAAGTTTGCACACATGCCTGTGTGTTCTCTCGAAAGACCCCAGCCCACCATACCTGCTGGGCATTCAAAATGTCCCAGGCACTGGACCTAACCTTGCCCAGGCCCCACTCATGACCCAGACCTGCCTGTCCCTGTGGCCAGTCCTCTAGTCTCGCTCAGAGGGCTTTGCAGATGCCCCACCCCTGGCAGGGGGGCACCCCCCTCCAGGGCCTGTTATAGCCCCTCCCTGAGCAGCTCCCAGCCCAGCTGTGCCTGGGGCCTGGCATCCCTAGGACATGCCTGGCGGGGCAGCTAGAGGAAGGCCTGTGGGGAGAGGCTGTGGCCTGGGCAGGCTCACCGGGGGTCTTAGGGGCTCAGGGGGTCATGGAGGACTGGCAGGCTCCGAGGGCAGGAGGGTGCTGTGCCCGAGTTTGGGTGAGCACCCTGACAGAGGTGAGGGCAGGGGGAGGGGGATCCTGAGCCCACGGTCAGGCTGAGGGTCATGGGCAAACCCCTCCCAGGGCCCAGGGGCTTTAGGGGGCAGTGGCATCATCCCAGTCTAGGATGAAGAGGTGTGGCCAGAGGCAGGGCCCTAGCCCCTTGAGAGAGGATACTGGCAGCAGGTAGGGGGGGCCCTGGCCCCACCAAGGAGCACACCCTCCCGTGGTCAGAGCTCTCCGCCTGGGAGGTCACTCTCCAGCCTGCCATCGGCCCAGCCTCCCTGGACCCAACTGGAGGGTCCTAGAGCTTGGGGTGAGGCATCGGGAAATCAGTGTGAGGCGTGCGGGGCTCACCTTGGAGTGGTAGGGGGAGGGGGCTCACCTTGGAGAGGTAGTGGAGGGGGAGGGGGCTCACCTTGGAGTGGTAGGCGGCCGAGTGCTTGGCCACGGCACACTGCTTCTCCACCAGGAAGCAGAAGCGCCGGCGCTCCTCGGTCAGAGCCATCTTGTATCCGTCGGACACGTAGCTCTCCAGCTCGCCCTGCTTGTTGCTGATGGCGTCAATGTACTGGCCAGGGAGGGAGGGATGGCCGGTCAGTGTGGTCAGAACCAGAGTGGCCATCCAGTTCCCAAGGGTACCGTGTCCCCCAGAGTACTGTGCAAGTCCCCACCCCGGCCCCTGGGAACGAGACCAGAGGCTCCCAGCTGTGATCAGGAGGCTCCAGCAAGAAGGGAGATCCATCCGCACCCCCTATCCCCAGATACAGCCACACGGGCAGGGGTTCCAGGGGTGGAGTGGGGACTGACACCGGATGACAACCAAGACACATACATCTAAGAAACGGCCTCTCCAAATCTTTGGGAATAATTGAAATAGCAGGGTTTTCCCACCCATGTTCCGGTCAGCCCGGACCTGCAGGCCATCAGCCACTGCTGCCATGGCCTCTCACCTGGCCCCTGGCCACCTCTCAAAAACACCGGAAGGAGCCCCTCAGCCATGTGTGCAGATGCCA